GAGGTTGCTGGTTCGATCCCCGGCTCCCTTTGGTTTTTCGGTTCCCTGGACCCTGTTGGACGATGTTGAGGAGGTGCAGGGTGTTTTCGTGCTCCCGGTCGGAGCTCTCAGCCTGGCCCCTCTGGTAGCGGTTCTCACAAGTGGAGTGATGCCTCCTGCACAGCTCTATGCGGGCGCGCAGACGCTCCACGATGGCGTTGTGCAGCGGAGGGACCGCGGAGCCTCCTCGGGAGGTGGCCAGCATCGGGCCGTTGCCCACCACCCCACCGGGCATGGCTCCTAACCCTACACCCAGCATGGGCACGAAGGTTCCTGCAGCAGCAGACTGAGCGGGAGTCGCCTCTCCCATGCCCGCTGCTCCTTCCCAAGTTTGGAAAAAGCTGAGATGCTCTCAGCAGGAACAAGAAAACAATATGCAAAGTCTTTATATATTCTATTTAACATTTATTTTATTTGAACTAATTAACACTTTCCTCCCCATGTGATGACAGCTTGTTAAATACCTAAATAAGGTGTTATCCAAATGTGCGTAAAGGAAAAAGTCTCCAAGTTGCGCGGTTCTATTATCTGTAAGGATAAAAATGATTTCCACACATGAAAGGAGTCGCGGGGGTCACAACTGGAATGAATGCTCTCTGCATTCACTATGAATCCCTCAGATGATTCAAACCCACGGCACGCACAACTTCACTTCAACCATCCCTGCTCCATTGTCGGCCCAAATGCGTGCGTTCCAGACGCTCAGCGGCCCAAAGAGTGCGACTATTGGAGCAGCCTGGTGATATGGGAGTGAGCAGTTGGTCCCCAGAGCGAGAGAATGAAGCATACAAAGACATTAAATCCAGCAAACTTCAAGACTCACGGCATTGTTTGGAAATGAGTCCTTTCTCTCTTTGTTTCTCCGACTCCATCCAGAGGAATAATCTGATCACAAAACAACCAGGAGGATCAAACGCGTGGAGCAGCTATAGTAACCGTCTCAATAGTCCATTGACAATCATTTGTGTGGCAGAGCGAGGCAGCAGCACTGCTACTTTACACAGACCCTCATTGTATGAATATTCCTCTTCTTACATGATGCACTCCTATGGATGAAGCCAAATGCACACTCTAGTGGAGGAGAAGAGAACTATCCTTCAAGGAATGCACCATGTCAGAGAGAAATTAATCTCATTAATGTTCCTCAAACATAACTAATTCAGTAGCTGATGGAAAAAGTACAGCTTGGTGGGAAATCGTCTTGGGTTTCTAACTCTGCTTAATGGGTCCAAACAAAGCAGCGGAAAAAAAGATGCAGGGTTTTCAAAATTATTTAAAATAAATTCTGAAAAGTATGGTATGCTTCACTAAATAAAATCCACTGCTGACATCTATCCTTATAATAAATAGGTTCTATCCTAACTAATATCTTATTACTGCATTTTCAGAACTGCTTCATAATTTTTAGATGATCAAAATCAAAAATCTAAATTGAATACCTGGCAAAGAAAACCTAATACAAAAGGTATTTCCAGCTAATATGGTATTTTTCAGGAGAAAAAAGCAATGGGAATCTGTGTTATAGAGATGTGACAGTCATCAGGAGTGTTAGGTACTGCCAGAGCACAGAAATCAGGGAATTACTTTAACAAAGGATCAAAATGGCAAAGCAAAGCATGGGTCTAAAAATCTCTAGACACAACAGATAATGCAGAGTCAGTCTTTAACAGGTTATAGGGTCATTTCGATGGTTTGGGGATTCAAGTAAACCTCAACCAGATCAATCAGCGGTCGAGTGGCGGCCTCATGGTTAGGGCATAGAGCTTGGAATCCTGACATTCTGAGTTTGAGCTCTCAGAGCAAGACCCTTAACCCCTGATCAGGCCCCACAATGGAGGCCCACTGCTCCCCAAGGGGATGGGTTAAATGCAGAGGTAAATTTCTTCAACGTGAGATCAATAAAGTTCAATTATTATATATTCTTTATCATTATCAGCCAAAAAAAAAAAAGAAAACTTGAATTAGAGGTAAATGTGTGAAAGGTTGATAGTTAAGATTTTAGCAACATTATCTTTCAAAGTTGAGAATAACTTTTTTATTTTTTATTTTCTGTGCATATTTTGTCAAATGCCATTCGCTAGACATATCCTGAAGACTCATATATTTATTACATTTATCCATCAGCATAATGCATTTATTGCATATTTCTATTATTGACGTAGGACATTTAGCAGCTACAACTATTTCTAACATCTTTCATTATCAACTATAAATGGTTTGTCCTCAACTGGAATAGAAATCAGTTATTGTGGTCTCAATAAAAATGATTTCTTTTTTATGTGATCAAAGGTGTCCTTAATTATTTTCATTTCAAAATGTTATCATCATTTTTGCAGTTGAAGAAAAATCTTGCAGGGGACAGGTAGTCTCAAATTTGATCAACATTTTAAACAGTGTATTTTCATCAATTGTTGCACCACAGATTTTGTCTCTATTACCAGAAATTTAGTTCATTTGTTTAAATGTGTTAAAGTGTAAAAAAGCAACAAACGCTTTTGTGTTACCTTGCAAGAAACAGACAGCTTTATAATCACTCAATGTGCCTGTCTACACAAGAAACATACAGCAGTATCTGTGCATTCAGAATCTGTAGGAAAATATGTGCAGCAACATAGCCAGAAAACAGAAACAAAATAAAGAAATGTTTAACCAAAAAAGCTAAGAAAAAGGAAAAAAAAAAAACTAGTATAGCAATATGCAAAGAAAAACTTAACGCTAGATTTGGATTGTGGAAAATAACTTTTGAAAAGGTCTGAATAGATTTTAGCTTTATGTCCCCTAAATTATGTCTTCCACCCCATGCATGAAGCTGTTGCAGAACTGGAAACCTTCTTCAGTGACAGACTGCTGCACTATCACAGATCCTTCCTCCCAGCATCGGTTATAACCATCACTGTTCCCAGCAGCCTAAATAAGTTGTTACATTTATGCTGATTTTGCACAGTTTCTACCTCAGTCAGTGTCATTTTGCACATCTCTGGTGTTGCTATTTTTCACATATCCATTATTGTAAAAATGTCCTCAGCCATTATTGATTTTTATTCTCCAGATATAGAGTATTCATACTGTATAAACACCTTACAGTTATTTTTTTATCTGTTATTTTTATACACTTTTTTAAGGTCCACATTGTGTGACCCCTTCTGCTATAACCTTTATTGTCCCGCAATGGGGGAAACCAATGTGGGACAATAAAGGGCTTTTCTATTCTATTCTATTCTATTCTATTCTATTCTATTCTATTCTAATTCCATTCTACATATTATGTTATTTTGTTAAGTGAGCAACACCTAAAAAAATTAAATAAAACATAACTAGCTTCATCATTATAAAACACCAGCCAACACTAACATTATGCAGTTTCACTATGCCATAACAGAGGGGAAGCTGATTCAAATTTTGTCATGCAGTTGGTTTAGATTTAGAAAGTTCCCCAATGAGAGTATGCTAAAAATCATATAACAGATAAATGGTGTTGTTTGTTTGTTAAAAATTCAAACCATGTAAAACTGATCCCTTCCCAGATACAAACACTTGATAGGAGTTTACAAAGTAAAAGCACCAGGAACAAAATGCCACTATTTTAACACCATTTTTATTTTAGCATAATTTTATTTCCTAAAAGTCGTTTAGGTGCATAGTGGAGTTGTTGTTTGTTTGTTTTTTTTGTTGTTTTTTTTAAAAGAAAAAAAAAAAAGCAAATTCAACTAAGAAAAACTAGTATTTTACTTATGTGGAAAAAAAACGGCAAATATGTTTCTAAAATTACTTTCATTCTAAAAAGTCCACCTGAAACAGACAGGGATACATCTGTAAAAATATTTATAATCCTTAAAAACATTGGCCTCTGTATTGATTTAAAGTATGAGTGATGCAACAGTATATGTCATCATCTTGAATAAAAAAAAAAATGGCCTCTTTTGCAGTAATAATATGATTCATGTGATAATATCTGCACCCATTATACCTCCAATCCAAGGAGGTAATCAATTGATATAGGAATGAAATGTTCTTTATTTTAATTAAGATTATATCACCTTTTAATATATATGTCAAGATGATTCCTGCATGTAAGAATATGACATGAAATTTTGGCCACTAAGCCCTGACCAATACAGCCTTTCTACAGAGAAAAAGAGAATCTCTAATGTTAAAAGGAAGCAATAGTGACATCTGGAGGTTAGAGCTTTAATAACATCAGTCAGACACAATCTACATGTCAATTTGTTGTATAGTAATTATGTTGGATAGAAAAATGCTTTTCTGTCCATTCAATACAAATGTGAACAGGTAGGTAAGCTAAACTGGTACTTTAAGGTAACAGATGAGACTAAGGTTGAATTTTCCTGCACAAATATCTCAGATTTTAAATGCCAGGAACCTGAATAAAGATCTGGTAAACAGAAAAAATATGAAAATGTGTATTTTTTGTTTTTTTATTGGAAAAATGATTGATGAGCCAAAATATTTGCGCTAGCTAAGGGAGAAAGTGTTAGTCATACATCAGGAGTGAAGGAAATCATTGTGGCACTTATGGCTTAAAAAGGAAAACAAAAATGTATATATATATATATATATATATATATATATATATATATATATATATATATATATATATATATATATATATATAGTTGCATATCCATGAATGAAATAATAAATAACAGAATGAATCAGTGTGACACTATGGTTGAGCAACATTTTCTGAGGAGATAATGTGTGAGCAGATTCTGAATATCAAAAACTCAACGAAACGGTACAACTTTACCACCGGAGTTTAAATCCTTGATTTATTTTATTTCCACAGTTTAAGTCTACCATAATATTGGAATGACAAAGTACAAGGTACTTGTGTATCCCAAATAAACTGTACCACATTGCAATCACACTTGCATAACTTCTCAAACTCTGTAAAAAAAAGGTGAAGATATTCATTAATGTTAGTAGAGGGCATTTTTTCCCCCACTTTTTTTTTCTTTTTTTATCCACAATTACCAACTGCAAAACACACAATAAATTAATAAGTTAACACACAAGCAGTCTCCGAATGCTTTACAGTAGTAGCAACGACAGTGGTTTTAAAGAAAAGATCTTTATCAGTACAGTACGTCATCAGTCTGACAGCAGATCAAAGCGTTTTCAGTCTCGCGCCTGCCAGGCTGTCACCGAATATAACCCAGCTCGCAATCCACCACAACACGTACACAGCTCCCCTGCTTGCAGCGAGCATCTCCAGATAATAAATTACATCTCCCCTTCACTTCAACAGACAGGTAGACGGGCTCCTCTTCTTCAATCTTTTCTCCCCTCTTTGTAAATCACAGTTCATCTGGTTTTGCAGCATGGCATACATACAGCTAGCAAAAGCCGGTGTGGAAATTTAAAGCTGAATCAAATACATTTTTTTTTTTGCTTAAATTAGCCTGATCTTCTCCGGCTGCACACAACACTAGGTTACATTGATCAATAATAATAGTAATAAAAATGATTAAAAAGATTTTTGAAAAAAACATCAAGTGTAAAAAAACAGAAGTAATTGACAACACATCCCAGCACTGCATGGCTCTAATATTCCTATTAGGTGGTTCCAGCCCACAATGAAATACTGGACTTCACTTCAGTTAGAAACTGATCACTCAGTTGTTCTAAATACAATGTGGTCCTTGTTTGAGAATTAGGATTAATCTAAACTCCTGAATATTTCAGAATCTATATTATATAAAAAAAATAAAAATATAAGGCAAATTAGACAAAAAATGAAGCATTGAAATACACTTCTCCATTTTAAGCTTTTATCATTAGTGATGAGTTTCCATGTTAATCAATGTAGCTTGTTTTAAACCACACGAGTGCAAAGGATTTCAAACCAAAGATGCACTTAATATGTCAATAATTTATACATAACTAATGCTAAGAGACGTAGTGTGGGAAGGTTAAACCTAACAATGCAGTATCTGCTTGACATATCTACAAACCTTGTGAAATGGAGCACCTCCTGCTCTATTTTTACTCCTATCTGCTAAGGTAGATGGGAGTAAAGTGTATAGTTATACGGAGCTGTTTTTAAATATTCTTTAAAGGGCAAACTTACTCTAAAAGGGAAGAAGCAACACAAACCTTAGGAGAAATAAGACATCACATTTCGTGTCTGTGACGTAACAGAGCTTCAGCAGAGAGTAAAGTTAAATAAAATAAATGTTTGCGAGGATGATTCTCTAGGTAATATAACGCTTTTTTATATTTTATTTGTTTTCTTTTTGTTTTATCAGTTTGTAAAAGCCCCCATCGCCCCAAAAAACATACTGTAAACAACAACCGTGTGTACTTACACTCAATATTTAGCCTCAGTTGTGGCTTATATGTCAGAGAATTTAATTAATTCGACATTTTTGATATATTATTGTGGTGGAGTTTAACCTTCAAAATGACTGATTATGAGGAGAAAAGTAAGACGGTTACAGACTCTGCATTAGCCTACTCTGGGAACAAAGCTTTTAGGAGGAATATAGCGAAGCATGCTCGTGCACATCAGAGTTACAGTTCTGGGAAGAGTTGGAGCAGAAATTGTAATATCTATCTAAATGCAGTGCCTTCGTTTTTGAAATACAAATTTGAAATACTGTCTTTTTAATCTCTCTCTGTAGGGTGCCAGTTCGTTAGCTCTTCAGTTTGCTGCTCTCATGCAGCATTTAGCCTTAGACGGAATCTTGCTGGAAAGGAAATCCTGTATAAATGTGTTTTATATCCCCTTTGAATTAAAAGAATACGTAAAAAAAAACTATAATTCTTTTCACTCCGCCTACTTTTCATCATTCGTTTCATTTGAACATGAATAACTCTATAGAAATATAGGAATAATTGGACTGTCATCCAATTGTGAGTCTGACAGCTCCCTAATCTTGTCCTGTTTCCTACCTAATTGAAACTGAGGCAACAGTGCAGTTATCATTATAGGCAATCTTGACACGAGGCCTTTGCATATTTGAACGGCGGTATTTCCGTCTCCCCTTTCCTCCTGCTAGACATGCACTGCTAAGCTGAAATGATTGCCTGCAGTGAAAATGATCTTCCCCTTACTGCTACGGCAAAACTCAGCCCAAATGACAGCTTGAAGTTGAAAAAAAGAAGAGAAAGCGTGCCCAAATTGGAGAACATCTTGTCATTCCTGAGACCTGTGTGTCCTGTCACAGTATAGTTATCCACCAGTTAGCCAGTGCTGCCGCCCGGAGCAAACCACCATCTGGATGCGACTGAAAGGGAAATCTGCTAAGCCGTGGTGGGACAGGTTTAATTATGGAATATATCTAAAAGGACTGAAGAGACAATGATATTTTTATACACTCCAAGAGTCTGTTTTTGAAGCTTTGGCAGCTTGCTTTTACCTGTAGAGCCTGATATCCCGTCCTGCATGCTAGCAGTGTACTTCAGCAGTAATCATCACAGAGACAACAGGCATTGAATATATATATGGCTTTTTTGCCCTCCAAAAAATAAGTCTTAAGTAAGTCCAAATGTTTTTCTTTGTTGAATCCAAGCATCCTCTTGAGTTCAGTTCTCGTTTGTTTCTTTTTAACAAGTCAGTGTCAGGATTTGACCCCCTTGACAGGTTCAGCTGACTGCCGCACGTCGGTCCACTCCTGCATCGTGTTTTGAAGTGCCTGGGTCTTTTCCTTGTCCACTTGCACGTAGTCCACCTTCTCATCAGACGTCACAGACGATGTGGAGGGCTGGGGAGGGATTAAAAAGCTGTGATTAGGATTTCTATTTGCAGGGTTAATAGAAAATCTATTTACTCTTGTATTCATTTAGTCTACGAGTGCCTTTTAATGGTATTAATAGTGAGTTAAGACTTTAATGTATTTTACTGAGATTTAAATGGAAAACCAACACAAAGTAACCCATGATTCTAAAGTGGAAAGAAATAAAAAATGCTTTGTATAATAATAATAATACTAATATTATTTTCTGCAACAGGCAGGTTGGAGATTAATCTATGGAAACGTTTAAAGCATTGCTAGGATATAAAAAATAAAAAAAAGAGTATAAAAGTTTCACAGTGCTCTTTGCATTCTATCTGTAGCCAATCATCTACTTTTATTTTCAAGGTGGGCACAAGCAGCATTCACCAGAGAAACAGCCTGACGGATCTAGCCTGGCCAGTCTGACTGATATGCTGTAAACATGGCGCCTCATCTGGATGCAACCAAAACAGATATACTCTAGTCTTTACTCTTATGGTTACAAAAAGCCTATCAGCCAAGGTGGGACAGTCCTTTCTTCAAAATTCAGCTTTTTCTTACTATGGGTTCGTCATGTGTAAAAGATATTCTACAGGTTATAACTGTTAATTATGGGTAAAAGATAATGAGATTATATCTGAAGATAACAATGAAAAATATGTATTATTTAGGGCTGCTCAGTGGCACACTGATAGTGCTACCTTGCAGCAAGAAGGTTCTGGGTTCGATTCCCGGCCTGGGGTCTTTCTGCATGGAGTTTGTATGGTATCCCTGAGCATGCGTGGGTTCTCTCTGGGTACTCCGGCTTCCTTCCACAGTCCAAAAACATGAGGTGAGTGTCCGGTTGGCCCAGTTGTGCCCCCAGGAGGCGTCAGGTGAGTGTGTGCGTGAATGGTTGTTTGTTGCCCTGCGATGGACTGGCGACCTGTCGAGGGTGTACCCCGCCTCTTGCCCGTTGACAGCTGGAGATAGGAACCAGCACCCCTTGCGACCCCACTTGGGATAAGCGTGTGTGAAAATGGATGGATGGATGAATTGTTTTCATAATATTCCCTCCAAGTTTCTGAGCACCCACTTAATGGCCCCTTTGAAAACCATTGGCCGAGCTGGGAACCTTCATGTTTAGCTGCTTTTAAAGTAGGGAACTGAGATTTGGTCACTTAGCACGGATTTCAATACCAGCTGTTCTGAACAGAGGCTTGCACTGGTCATCGCCAGAGAAACATGGTGGAGGCACCATGTGTAACCCAATAACAGTTCAGAACACAATCAAACAGAGAATCTGCAGCAGGAGCTGATGTTTATAGAAGTTTATCACCCATCTAATTATACTGAGCTTGAGATGTTTTGCAAAGGAGAATTGATAAAAATATTCAAAGCTTGTGGAAACAGAATCTTAATATATTAGCTGCTGAAATTGCTCTAAAAGGTGGTGCTACAGGTGCAGAACTAGACGGGCTGTATAGAGTAAAACACATTTTTCATTCTGGAAACCATAATCCTTTTCCTTCAAAATATTCAAATTCTTTAAATTGTTTTATCCCCTATAATTCTAACAGGATACATTTAAGTTTGTGGTTTTAACTTTAAAAAAATGTGGAAAAGTTCACTTTTCCAAGATGCTGAAGACCATGTGTTTACTTTTCTGTGTGGGCTGGGTGAGCCAGGCTGGAAATCCAGTGCCAGGTAGTCCACGTTCCCAGACTTCCGAGGAGCCGGGCTGCTGGTGCCGCTCACAGTTGGGGAGGTAGATGCTGGGTTCTGCTAACGGGACAAGAGGGAGGTTTCAGTCACACATGGTTTAGTGCGTCACTGAAGCACACAAACAATTCAATCAAACTGAACAGAGCGTACTCTGCTGATCTCTCTGCCCTCCAGCTAATGGAACTTACCATAGCCACATAATTCTCCTCGCTGTCTCCAGAGTCAGTGCTGGTGATGCTCTGCGTGGAAATGGGTCGACAGTGGTGGGAGGAGTTCATCTCCTGCCTGGAACAAAAACAGATACGGCTCTAAGTGACCTTAGCGAGAAAGAAAAGGCGTCATCAGTGAGTGTAAGACTCACATGGGCCGTGTCCATGACATGGTGACGGGGCTCTTATACGGCAGCTCATCTATGATCCCATTGTTCTTTAAATCAAGTGGTGTTGGCTTAGCTGAAGAAAACAAAAGCAGACGTCATCGAACCAGAAAACAGCTTTTATATCAATTTCATAAGTACACAGATGTACAGACTGGGGAAAAAAAAACAACAGATTCTCACAAACTCACATTTTCTGTTAGGTTTAAGATTGCGGTTGATGGGAGGAGGTGTGACATCACTTAGACGACCAGGCCTGTGACACAAGGATGCACTGCTCCCCTTTCGGGCAGGTAATGTCGCAGAGAACCCTGGGAAATCAAAGTGATGCGGTCCAGGACTCATGGGAATGTAGACATTCTTCGGACTGTCAGCCTGGGCAGCGCTGAGCGGCGAGGAGCCAGGATTCATGGGGACATAGTTGTCATCCGAATTACCGCTGTCCGAGCGAGTCAAAGGAGTCTGGCTTCTCTGGTGGAGGAAAGAAAACAGTAAAAGGTAAGGAACACTTCCTCCACAAAACTATCAATCCAGCTTCGTCATCATCAACAAACATTTCTAAGGACTTAATGAGACCACCCATTATTTTAGAAGGTCATGGAAAAAAATACTATTTAATTTGTGTTTAAGAAACCCCACTTTGTCAATGCTTGTAAATCTAAAGACTGGAAGTTTTCCCGACTTTTATTACCCCCAATAACTCAAGGCCATTAAACACATGAACAAGCTCAGATCTAAGGCCTTCATTTGTAACCTTTGCTTCATGCTTATGGCCATTTTTCTGCTAAAACATGAACCCCCTTCCAAGGTTTTTTGATCTAATATTGACATCTGGGATCATCTCTACTTTTCTATAGCAGATGTTGTGGTGAGGGTAATCGATTTCCAGCCCCACACCAGTATTTTGCATGACAGCCATGAAGTTCAATTCTGGTTCCTTCTAACCAGAGAACCTACTATAAAATGTTTGCCATCCATAACAAAGCTTGAGACAAAATATAAACAGGAATATTTTTGCTTTCCTTTCAGGAGCCACTCTGTCTACAATTCGAAAAACAAACAAAAAAAACCCAAAACATCCCCACAGTAGTTGTTCCTGGTTGATGAACAGTGTCAATGTTGTACCAGTCAGCTCTTCTTATGCCTTTTTTATACTGATATTTACCTTTTGCAGTTTGTTTTGCAATACAAAACACTGATCGAACACTTTCGCACATGAGAATACAAGCAAACTTTGATAATCATCTGAATGCTCACCAGGTATGAGCTGAAGCCGTCGTTAACAGACTCGACAGACTGGCCCGAGTTGTTAAAGTGGAACAAACGATGGTGGTTGTTGATTTCAAAGGAGGAGCCTGTGGAGGAATAGGAAGGGAGGTTAATCATTACTTAGTATGTCCGAAAATGATTCAAAGAAGAAAAGGAATGCTTACATTAAGCAACAAAATTGCAAATCCTAGCTTATACTGAAATAAAAGGTTTTTTTTTCAAAAGTAACTGCACTTTTTGAGAAGGCAGGTTATAGATCTAAAATAAACAGACATGTGGTGTGATGCTTGGCCAGATTTAAATCTATTTTTGTCGCATGGTGGTTGGATCTATTTGCGACCTTTTAAAACGTGCAGGGCCGCATACATGACAGGCTAAGAAGCCAAGCATTGTAGCTAAGAGTGTCTTTTTTTCCCCTCTAATTGCTTATCAGTCTGGAACGAGACATTCTGGATCAGATGGTATGACTTGAATTTCATTAGTGTCTCAGCAGAGCATTGTCTGCTACACTGGGTCCTTTGTTTCTGCTCAGCAGTTTCACTTAAATCAGGAAAGTGAGAGAGGAAGGGAAGGGAGGAAGAGGAGGACGTCGCCAAGTCACTGCGTTAAAGCTGATCAATTGAGACTTGGATTCGAAAACATGAAAGAGAAACTGAATGCTTGTAGATTTCTGTTGATTTGCTGACTTACCTCTGTGGAGCCTGATATTCTCAACAGCAGGGAGAGTGTTTCTGCGAGGGAGGGCTGACACAGCAGATGTCATATCCCCATTCTGACTCCCAGCTGAGTGGGGACTACCCCAGTTCCCCTCAGAGCCCTGGTTAGGTTTAGGGGGCCTCGGTGGAGGAGCGCAGGAAGATTCAGAGCTGGAAGGCGTCAGGGAGTTATGGTTCTTGTCAAATGTCCTTGGGATCTGATAGAAGGAGCCGGGCGTAGTGGGGAAGTCGTAGTTGTCTGGTGACCGCTCATTGTTGTGCAACGTGGCGAGGGTGTTGCAGGGGGTTTTGAAGGTATACACCTCCTCGTTCTCAAAGTCAGTATCTCCCAGACTGCTGTGAGGTGGGGCCTCCGAGCTGTAACCCCGTGGAAGGACATAACAGGCCTCCTGTGAATCATCGTGCACGGACAGTTGATGCTTCCCAGGTTTGGGCAGGCTGTAAAAACCATGCAGCTGAGCCCCCGTGCCATTTAAACAGTTCGAAAAGCCATAGGAGAATTTCTGCACCGGAGAGTTGCTCCCCAGTAACACATTGCTTCGCGTAGATTGGGAGAAACTGGCACTCCTGCAACAAAACAAACACACATAGCTCAGCTTTCTTTTTTAAATCCTAGTTGATTTTCTGTGCCAAAACATATCCTCATATACATAACATTATATGCCAATTACAATTAAAATACAAACTACCAGATAAAGCTACACAATATTATTATTAAATGTTGCTATGGCAAGAATGACTGCATGATCCCCCGTTTATCCTCACAGCTCTCCCCTTTCCATCATCCGTTTTTCATGAGCTTCAGCCTCTGAGTCATAGAATGGGTTTGAGGCTTCATCTGTCCATCTGATAGCAAAATACATAACTGACACCCAGTAAATCAAAACATGGAGGAAAAAAAAATATCTCAAGCAAGTTTTCATCCATAACTGAGATATTGCTTCATATTTGGTGTTTTATACTTATCTCTTTTGGGAATCTGCATCCTTACCTTTGTTACTTACTTAGCTGATGATACATCTAATTCACCCACTAAGAGACAATAATAGATATTTCTATTTTATTCCATTCTGTTCTGTTCTATTCGGATCTAAGTGTAATAAAACAGAAAGCCAACAGATGGCAGCCAAGATCTTCAAAGCAAACAAGCACTATAATGTTTAGCAATAAAGCCCTGCTGACTAATATTATCTCTTACCCCTGCCAAATGTAGGTAGGTTTAAGACTTAGAGCTAATAAAAAAAAGGGGTTTATTTGCTGCAATACAATAAAGATACTTTCTATAATAACCAAGAAGGGTGAAAATAATTTCAAAGGTGACATTTTTTTATAGGATATAAGTAAAATATACCTTTAGAACAAGGAAACCAATAGTCCTGCTGAATTTTATATGAATTATATCCTTTGGGAGTTAGGTCTCAAAAAGAACTAAAACAAAATGTGTTTTAAATCTAAATTAACAGATGTAGGAATAATTTGGGACTCCACTGCATTAAGATCAACATACAACTATATTTGATGCCTAGAATTGATTGATTTATACTTTTTGTCTGTCTTTCGCATTTCCTGAAAAGCTATTTGTATTTTCACACATTTCCAACATGCTATGAAGAGGAGAGAGTTTGCAGATGGAAAAACAAATGCAAATTCTACAAGTTTTCCCAGAGTTCACTAATAGGACACCCTGAGGAAATTACTTATGTACAGTTCCTCGACTGCATGCTTACCTTGAGCGTTGGAAAGAACAAGACATTTCTGAACATTCAGTTTTGCAGCGCTCTAATGTAGCTGGTCTTTGCATTTATAGTTCTTTTTCATGTTAATATCAAACTAAAGGATTCATGTTGACCCAAATTGAACTGGCAGCCCCTCTGAAATCTGTTGACTGTGGTGTATATGAATGTCACTCCCCAGGTAACTCTGCTTAAGCAGGTATAGAGAACGGTTGGATGGCCAGGAGACCCTGGGACTTCCATTCTTGCTGTGTATCACACCCTTCCACCAGATGCTTCTCTTAATCAGCAGCCTCTTGATGCAGAACCGGATGACAGAAATATGTTCATCCAGCTAATTAGATGGATGATGGGATGGGATTTTCAGGGTTTCGCCAAATCCCAGTGCAGCGGATTTGCGTGTAAATTTTGCAGCTGAGTGTTGCTCTACCCTGTGTGATTGTAAAACGTACAGAAGAGATGAATTGCCACCTCAGACTCATTGATCATGCAGCGTACCGCCTTTCTGCTGAGTGGCGCTGTGATTAAAGCCGCCTCAGAAGCATAAAGGATGGGGGGAGGTGAGGTGGCCCTAAATGGAAAACGCAGAACCAACTTCCTTTAAACAGTTGTTTCCTTTGCTATCAGACTCAGAACATACAGATTTAACTCTTGAAGATATATTAACACTATTTGAGTCTGTTTTTTTTTTTTAATTATTACTATTATTATGTTACAACCAATGTATGCGATAGGCCAGGGCTCCACAACCCTATGTCTCTTTTGCCTTTTCATAACTTTTAGCTTTTGTGATGTGGAAAAGAGCAACGTGATTAATAAATAAAATAGGAAAGGTTAGTTGTAGTAGTTATTCAATCTGTATAGTAGAAAAAAAATCTACTAAAAATGTTTTTTAAGGATTTTTTTTATTAATTTAGAATAATAAATATAATAATAAATAAATATAAGTAAAATAATGTGTAGCTCATGAACTGAATACTATAAAAAAAAACATTAAATTGTCTTTTTTTAAGGCTCAGGTTGGTTTTGTGCCTTTTAACAAACTTAATGATGTTACATAGAGGGAAAAATGTCTTTTTAGATTTTAAACGTGGCTGATCTCTGTGACATTACTACTCCTTAGTGAAGTGAGGGGAAAATCATATGTTTTCTAACTTTTTTCACAGTTACTGCTCTGAAAAGTGAAGCATTTATTTGCATTTACCATGCAGTCCAATTATGGCTGCTAGTATTTCGAGGAATCTCAGCATCAGCTTTGCACATGTACAAACTGTCTATTGTTCCCCAAACTCCTGCAAACATTACAATGTAGCCCTTCTTATCTGTTCTCCCAGCATAATAGCGCCACCACCATGCTTTACTGTGCATTTATGAATGTAGCTCTCATAGTTTTCTATAATGTTTTCCTGTTAACACATTCTCCTACCTGAGCTGTAGATCTTTAAAGCTTAAGATAACTGCATGTATCAGCATTATTGGAGGTTAACAAAGCTAAGAGGGTAGAATACAAATGCACAGCAAACTGGAGATTTTGTATTTCTTAAGCCACTTAACTTTGAACATTTTAATACCAGTCTTACAAATGAAGTACAACTTAAATTCAACCAACTAAATAATCTGTACATAGGAGATTCCCCTCAAAATATAAATATCTGATTAATGAATACTTTGAAGAACAAACAATAGAGATCATACAATAAACCACAACATCCTGCTCTTCTATTTTTAGCATTAAGATTAAGTGTTGAATGATCTCTCATAGTTTCATCCTGCTATCTCACATGCACACACACAAACACATACACACACACACACAGCTGGATAACTCTTCCCCTGCAGCGGTAGGTAGAAACCCTTAGAGGGTTCTGAGCAAAGGAAGAGCTGCAAACCTGCATGTTGACCTGCATCAATGGAAAACAGGAAACCGACACAGGACGTCTGAGCATCAGGACATTTACCGTGCACTCTCAGTCTTCCTGCTCATGCACTGGTGGAGGAGGAGGTAGTCCTGAGGAGCACTGTTGGACAGTGAGCCATGGTGCGAGTGGCGCACAGGCACATCGAAGGTGAAGAGCACTGGCTGGCTGGAGTGGACAGGCGCCGACGACTTCCGTTCTCCGCTTATAGGAGCCATCGAGCTGGTGACATCTGCTCCAACAGATCGAGGCATATGGTGTAATCTACTCTCTGCAGGCAGACAGAAATTGGAATCATTGATTTTTTTTTTATTTACTGAAACATGCTATAAACCAAACAGCCAAGTTATGGTTCCTCATTTTGCTTGTAAAATGTATCAATCTTTTAATTAAAAGGAGTATTTTTTTAATCTACCAAAGAGTTTGGGGTCTGGTGTTTTCTTGTACTCATTACCCTTTAGTCTGCACTCTAATCGATAAAGGAGAGAGAGATCTGTCTCAGGGGAGAACAGAAAACAGCAGCCCTCTGCTTTTAGAGCTGCACAGAGCCATCGACTGAGCAGCACATGATCCAAGTTACACTTTTAAAATCAGGGTCAATGTGCTTTGTTTGATTTTATTGAGCCAACCCTTGTTTTGTGAAGGGGGGGGGAATGGAATCTTGAAGGGGGGCAGTGTCCTGCAGTCTCATTGTTTCGGCTTGGTGTACCAGATTTTTTCCTTTTTTTTCCACCGACTACAAAGAAAAGACAAATCCGAGATAGGGATGTTGGAAACGAACTGGGCGGGAGGCCAGAATGAGGGGATGCTCAGTATGTAGAGTGGGTGGTCTACTGATCCATCGACCGATGGTGCTGTGCGCAACAAGAGCTGAGGGAGACATGGAAAAAAAAAAAAAACTCAGCTGCTGCTGCTGAAGATAATTTTTCTCCTTCACTCTCCAGTAAATGTACAAACTGCACAAGAATATTAATGCAATGCCACTGAATCACTGCAGCCTAAATATGTTGGGATTAAAACTGATCGCAGCATTATTCTATCACTCTAACAATGCAATATATGAAAAATAAAAATAAAGAAGAAAAATATCTGCAATTATTTTAGGGACCTATTGGTTAACTGGTTACATTTAATTACAATGTCTAATAGAACACCTTTTTCTCTTTTGAGAGGTTAAAATAAGTTTCAGAAACACGGATGTGATGCATTTAATATATGAGTCATAAATACATCTGAATCTGCTTTTTTATCATTTTCAAAGGTCATTTTAAAAGCAGTTTCTGACAAAAAAAAAAAAAAAAAGCCTCCAAGCAACAGGTCTGCTTAAAAATAAACACAAGAGGAGAGAAACATGTGTGGGTGATCACACTAAAGAGTTTTTGTTATGGGAATATGTTAAATTAATATTATTGGTTATTTGGTACAAAGATCATCCAAGCACAAAACAGATGTGTAACAAATAAGTGAAGAGGATGTATTTCTCTCAAATCTACCAACAAAAGCATTCCTGAAACATCTGACCCAGAAACATGAAATAACTGATTTTTCAGATCTAAAAAGGTCAAAGCCACAATCCAGGGCATGAAATATACTAGCCTGCCAACCATTGTGGCAGGTGAATTGTGACATCCACCTGCCACAGTGTACAGAACAAACATTAAAGTGCTGTCCAATTATTATTATTTAACTTACCGTAAATCTCATTTATGACTAGAGCTAAATAACGAGCACTGTGACGTAACTGACTAGCATCTAGAATAATAAATGACAGAAATACAAACAGCCAATCATCTCACTGATGGTTTTATTTATTTAGTTTACACCCAGCTTCAGATCTAATTAAAGGTATTGTGGAGGATTTTTTTAAAATCCACATGCAAAAAATGCGTGTGCAAGAGTTTAAAATGTGCTGTTCTCATAGTTCATACAAGCTTACTGTGTCCACATACAGTGGGGACTATATAGTGGACTTTATAGCAAACTCAGTTAACTGACCGTTTGGTCAAATGATCATAGCTTTTTTCGATTGGTCACGTAACTCGTCCTCCTTCGAGTGGTGCATTCGCTATCTTCGTTATTATTCGGCGCCATTGGGCAGTGTCAGCCTATGGCAACAGCGGGTCCCTGTGACAGGAAATTCGATAATGATTTGCACGGAGAGCTCTCCATTCTTTTCTTCTCATAGACTTCGTAAATAATTTTTCTCTTACGACCTCTCGGCCATTTTCAAAGAACCGCTGTGAGAAAGGTGAGCTTCAATGACTGTATAATCGTAGCTCACCACAAATATGTGGCTGAAAGTGCGCATGCGCAGAAAAACTGACTTACGTAAACATATCACCAGAATGATTGACAATTATAAGGACCACTTATTTAGATGATCCACTCAGAAATGAAAGATCCTCCTCTATACCTTTAACTGAATAACTGATTCATTCTCACTGTTTGCATCCAGGTCAACTCTATTTTTTGTGTTATTTTTACATTAAATTAATATAAAAATAGGATTTCTAACTTTGTACATGTTATAAGTGTATTGTCATTTTCAAGACAAGACAAATATTTTGATTGAACAACATTTAGATAAATACCAACAATAAGTGAATTGACAGAATCCAAACCATAATTCCAGGGTCAAAACCATCCTTTCTGGTTATACCGCAGTGATTTACTGTATTAGTCTCTCTCGCATTCAGTTTCACCTTTCCTGTGAAATATCCGTGAAAACCTTTTCCTCATACCTGCCTGGTTTCTCCCTGCGATAGATATTCTCAGTAGTTATAATCCTTCCTTACCTGTAAAGAAACTACATCATTCTCCCTGCTGCTGGCCTCTGGTCTTATTTTCTTTCTGTTATGACAATACACTTAAAAAAACATTTGGAAAGAATTTTTTTTTGAGAATTGGAAAGAGAAGCAGTAAAAAGTGCTGAGGCATTTAAGTCACTTTTATGCCAAAGATTTTTTTTTTTATCTCCTTCCTGCTCTCTACCCTATATTTTGACCAAAATACTTTAAATGTGTAACGATAAATTGTGAGCACAAACTCACAACTCATAAAGAGGATTGGGTTTATTCCAGGATAAACTAACTAGCTAATGTCACAGAGAAAGTAACCTGTTAAATGATTGACAAGCTCTTAAAAAGAACAGAAAAACATCAAAGATGCTCTTCAAACCTGTGGATACCCAAATTGGGCATTTGTCAAATCAGCAAGGAAATCCAAAAGACACGCAGCAGAACATAACGGTGAGAAGATTAAACGCAAAAAAAAAACATTGCCATCCCATATGTTGCTGGAGTCTCTGAAAAACTTAAGAGGCTTTCTTCCAAAAGCAAAATACCAGTACATTTCAAACCTAACAAGACCCTCAGACAGAGGCTAGTGCATCCTAATGACAAAACCCCCAAACCAAATATGAGCGGAGTGGTGTATGCAGTTCAGTGCAGTGAGGAATGCTCTGATATTGGAGAATCCAAACAACCTCTCCACAAACGCATGGTCCAACACCTCCTCTGAGTCAAGACTGCCGTAAATCTACACCTTATGGACAAAGGACATTCTTTGGAGGACCAGAATGTTCACATTATGGATTAAGAAAATAGGTGGTTTGAGAGGGGCGTGAAGAAAGCCATCTATGTTAAGAAAGAAAAAACAACTTTAAACAGAGGGGATGGATTCAGGTTCCAGCTTTCAAAAACTTACAATGCAGCTATTGAGTTAATCCCTTCCCGTTATCATCGCAGTCCCACCCCCTTTACAGGAGAGTGGAGGACTGCTCAGAGAGTCCAACAATCCCCTTTAACAAGCCCCTTTTCAGGCACTTAGATGGGTATGGGGTATTGCAGTCTAACAAAAGCCAAACAACCCCCTTTCCAAATGGGTGGACCCCTTCGTTTGTTCCAATTTGTACGTTTTCAAAACAAAAACAAGGCTTTGTTGGGCGACTGTATAAAACCTCGAACTCAACGCTATTCCTGGATGTTTGCTAAAAACCCTGATGCTCATTTTCAGCTCTGCTCTGCATCATCTTTGTGTCAAATTTCTGCCTAAGCATGAGTATGCTGGTGGTGCGTTAAAAGATAGCTAGAAAAGGAAGTTACTGCACATTTATAACAGGTTTAACTGTTACTTGTTAAACAAAAGCCATATTTTACTACATTTTGTTTAGAAATTTCAAGAAAAAGCGTGATTTGCTTAAAAACAATAGGCTACGTGGTCAAGTGTTGTGTTGTTGACACAGGAATCAAGCCAATAAAAACATACGAAAAAGAAGCAAAATCAGGGCAAACATTGGTCATGGTTCTGATTCTGACTAAATGAATCAAAGGGACTCAGAAGCCATACAGAGGTTAACATTTTACTTCTGGACAGGATAGAAAAATATTTGTCAATACTAACAATTAGCATTAGCAAACATTGCAAAATAAGAGCAGCCAAGTACAGGTTTGTTACTTAATGGGGGGTAGGATAAAAATGACTCAAACCCAAGGAGAAAGTACACAACATAGTTTGGACATAAGAAAAAAAACAAATAAGAAAAAAAAAATTAGGAATCCCAGCCTCTTCTAAAAAAAAGAAATGAATTTAAATCATACTCTACAACCTTGAGCAACTTTAAATTATATACGCCCTTTAAAAAAGTGCATTAAAAGCCGATAGAAAAAAAGTCAACACTCTAAGACGAACCAGCAGGTTGTGATTTCAGGTGCAGAACATGAACATGTTGCATTGATATCTACATTTTCAGTGAGGCTGTGGCGGTGTTCTGGAGTCCAGTTGCTAAATGAGGCCACATTCAGGGCTGGAGAGGGGGGGAAAAAAGCCTCTGTTATGAGGTCTCCAGGCCAGTGGACACCCGCGAGATGCCCCGGCCCATAGCCACACAGGCAGGGACTCCCCCACTCATAATGGTCCTCAATTGAACCATTGTCCTGAGTGATTCCATTCTCCCTGAGCTGGTTAGGCATCATCTCCTTTCTCCACAAAAAGCTTTGCAAAAGCTTTCATCCAGCGTGGTGAGCGTTGGCCCCTCTAACATGGGTAGATATATTGATTTGTTGTCAAAAGACAGACTCCCCCGCCCCTGCTGATATGGAGAGCCGCTTTGCAAAACAAAAGCTGTTTGTATTACTGAGCAGAATAAAATTGACCTAGAAAACTCCTTGCATGTAATCTTTTAGTTTTACATGTTGATTGTGTGCAAAAGATAATATTTTTCTGGGCCTGATTAGCTACAGAATGGCCGTCAGAAATAGAGCAAGATGAAAG